CATCTTTCGCCGGCTCTGTACACCCGTCCGCCCCACTCGGCCGACCTTAGAGCCAGGTCATAGCAACTGGCATAGCAACAACATCGTTGGAGAAATCTCGCACACCCGGGTCTGGAGTGCATTCACACTGTCACTGCTGCACCGGTCTAGGCAGTCGCGCCCTTTTCTGGCCCTTTTGGTTGGGCGAGGAGGGGATGGGGCGTCAATCGGGCCGGATTGAGGCCGTTGCCAACAGAAGTCCGGTCTGTCAATTCGGCCACTGTCTGTGAGGCAGTCGGGCCAATGGATGAGTCGCTTTTTCGCCAGCTCGGCGACTGTCGGTTGTCTGGTCTCGACTGGATAGGGGCCACAATTTCAGCAGACTGTCTGATTGACAGGTCTCCAGGCGAAAATGCACGAGCAGAAGAGGTCTATTAGTTGGCAAAGTGGAGACACAGGCATAACTACCAAGACATTAGAAGAAGCACCGTTCGCCTGGGGCTGATCAAGCAGACGGACTCGGACAGAGCGAAGCGCGACATGTAATCTATCGTGTTCACTTTGTGTGTGTGTATATATAATAAGGACCATAGACACCTTATTACAGCCATTTCCCGCCAGGTAGTGGCCATTAAAGAGGGAGGCCAGGAGACCGGTTTAGAGAGGTCGTGAGGCTGAGAAGGAAAACATGAACAAGGAAAAGGGGCCAAAGGTCAGTATTCTGGGGCTGATTTCGGCCAGCGAAAGACGGAAATGTAATAAGCTGTGAGGGTGTAGTCATGGGAAGGCTGAGAATGTGAGGCTTGTAGAACGGGCAGTTCGAGGGTGGTCAGTAGGGTCGACTTGACATCCGCCATCCGGCTCGTCTCTGAGACCATCGTAAACAAAGTGAAGATGAGTTGGCAAACAAACGACCTATAAACCGACCAAGCTTTGCAAATGGGGTAAGAATGTCGTCAAGGTGTCGTCTTTCACGATTCCCTCTTCTTCGTAAGTAATGTCTTTTCTTCGCCAAATGGCTGCTTTATCGTCAATGTATACTCAACCTTCGCCTAGTACCACTATTTCCGGCGCCAACAACGGCCAATCTCATTGGACATGGTATCAATGAACTAAGTCAGCTGAAAGTCGGACTCCTTCACTTCGATAGCGTATCTGAGGTCAACACCAAATGGTTGATTTTGTGAGCAGTCAGTAAAAATGCATACTCCGCCAAGCAGATCTTGGTAAGATACGTGAACATAATTCCCACCATATTCAGAGTAAACAAGTGATATGATCTGATATGATCTGATATGATCTGATATGATCTGATATGATCTGATATGATCTGATATGAT